GGCGGCAACAATACTACAGCGAGAATAAAAGTTACGGCTTCTTTCTTTGCGTGAACGTTTGGGCGGCGTTATGCAAATCTTCCGAGATCGTGACGTAGGTATGTGGGGGTGTGTTAGAACGAGCCGTTTTAGGTAGGTGTGGCTGACTCTTAATTTTATAAAGAATATCTCTTTGGATTTGAGACTTTAGTCTTTGCAACTTTACAGATCTTCTTTATGCACCAAGAGCTTGTAACACTCCAAAGAGAAAGGAAAAATTGAAATCGCATCATATGACCCCTTTAAATATGATCCTATATAGATCCTAAATAGATCCATTCAGTCTCGGATATTAATTTTAAAACATTATACATACTGTAATATGTAAAGAGTCCATGAGTAAAACATTTTAACTTTTTTTGGTAACCAAAGGTCAAAGTTGGAGATCATCCATGTAACGTCATTAGCAGCACCTCCACTGAGATCCACTGCCAACTCAGTCCTGACAGCGGAGCACCAGTGGGCATCCCATTACCTGTAACTGTCCTAGTCAACAACCTTGGCACTGCCATCCTGACCATGCCGAAAGAGTACGACCGCAGATTTGTGGTTCTACCAGTGATAGATTCCATCTTTCCTTTGGTGGGCAGCACTACAGGCCACACGCGTCTCTTCATCTCAGGTTCTGGGTTCTCAAACGGTTTGATTACAGTTGCAGGCGTTCCATGCAACGTGGTTTCCATGGACTACTCTCACGTAGTGTGCGATACCTCACCGTCTGAAGCTCGCAGGGGAGACGTTGTAGTTTACGTCAATTCCATCTCTTCATCATGCAGTTTTGATTGTAAGTTCGAATATTTCAAATCCATCGCACCATACGTCTCTGAGGTGCTCCCTAACTCAGTCAGTGGAAACACCACCACTGTTGTGATCACCGGCAGTGGGTTTGGGAATGATTCTGCCGATCTAATGCTATCTGCAGCCAACATCCTTCTGGAAGTCATAGAAGTCACCGATAGCAGTATCAAGGTTTTAGTTGGCGCCCTTCCCGCTGGTACACACGTCCTACAAGTGGTGGTGATGAGCAAAGGTCTCGCCACAGGAGATGAAACCCTGACCAGCATAGCACAAGCCAGCATCAACCCAAAATCAGGCAGCATTGCTGGAGGAACGCCGCTCTTGATCACGGGAAATGGCTTTGTGGCGGGAAATACAACTGTGAGGCTCGCTAACTCCCCCTGCAGGATTTTAGATGTCACTCCAGATACGGTGAGGTGCATGACACCTCCTCACGCAGAGGGACAGGTGCAGGTGAACATTAAGGTGTTTGATGTTGTGTATCCACCTCAAAGTTTCAACTACTCTAAGGGACAAACTCCAAACATCACCTCCGTCAGTCCTAGAACAGGTATGAACAAGCATTTACTATAGAAAACTGCAGTGACGATATATCTTTGAAGGCCAATCCTGGAAATTAGCATCACCCTGGTTCCCTCGACAAAAACCCAATAGGATTTTTCCACTGGCTTTTGGATTATTGCAGAAAATCAGCTCTGTGACCAACAAAGGTTTATGATTCGTTCGCATATTGTTGCCAGAAGTAAAAAGCTAAACGTAGGCTATACACAAACGACACCACAGTTGCGTGATTTCAGTGTTTACCATGTTAAGCTTCCAACAACTCTTTATTTTCCAAGTTTGAGTTAGAATAGCTTGCAAGAACGTTCACTGTGATAGTGTTTAGTGTCCCTTATAAACTCCTATTTGGCCACTTGTGACGAGATATTACTGATGTATTTTATGTCATAGAATAAACCGTGAAAATAACTGGAAGTGGTAAAATGCTAACTCATTTCCAAGTTTTGGCCTACAAATATAAGTCATGCCTGCAGCACGCTATTGAACTATTGAATATCACAACACATCGTAGTAACACTACTGACATAATCCTTTCCTTGTAGGTCCGGTTGGAACAGAGATCACCGTCTCTGGTTTTGGTTTTGGCACAGATGTAGCTCTTGTCTCCTTAAAGATCGGTGGTGTGCCTTGTAGTGTGTCATCTGTCACAGATACACAGTTGCTGTGCAATGTTGGGGAACACGCGGGAGGAACTTTTCCGGTCATATTTCACCATAAGGTCAAGGGTCATGCCTTGACCCAGCCTGTCTTCACCTATGAGCTGCTGCTGACAGGAGTAACACCAAATGAGGGTAATCAAAATCACTTTCTCTAGGGTAAAAGATTTGTTAATATGGACGGAATGTAAATTGCTTCTACTAAGTTGCTAGTTCTAGTAAATACAATTTAAATCTATTAAATCTAATACTTAAGGTGACATACAAAAACAGCCATAATTTAGCTTTATGTGACCATTTTCACCTTCTCTGACCCTTACATTTAAATATCTTTATGCTACTGTACCTTTAAGACTTATTTCATACAAGTCTCAAAGGTACAATAGCATAGACATTACTTCTGTTAATGTATTGGTTGTGAGATCACAAAAATCACAGATTCCTAATAGGGCAATTTGCTTCTTGATTTAAATAGAATTTGAGTTACATACACTACTGTTTAAAAGATTAGGGCCAGTAAGATTTTAAAAAATGTTTTTAAGAAGTATTTAATGCACACCAAGGCTGCATTTATTTAATTAAAAAATCCAGTAAAACAATATTTTGAAAATTTATTATTAATTAAAATAACTGTAATCTATTTGAATATATTTTGAAATGTAATTTATTCCTTTGTTTGCAAAGCTGAATTTTCAGCATCATCACTCCAGTCTTTAGTGTCTCATGATCCTTCAGAAATCATTCTAATATGCTGATCTGGTGCTCAAGAGGGATTCTTTATTATTATTAATCTTGAAAAGAGTTGTGCTGCTTAAACTTTTTGTGGAACCTGTGCAATGAAGAGAAAGTTTAAAAGAACAACATTTATTTGAAATATAAATATTCCTGCTCTATAAAAAATTTAAAATAAAATTTCTTAAAAAAAACATTTGTATGATAGTGTATAGTACAACTCCAACTCAAAAGAACAAGGAACAAATAATGTATTTTTATGTCAATTTAATTCTACAATACTTTACATCATTACATCATGGAAAACAAAACATGAACTTTCAGATAAAGATAAATATTAATTGTAATTTGTGCAGTAAATTATTGCCTGCCAAGGGCATCAATCCATTAAAATTCAGTTTTCAAATAAATAAAAAAGAAAGAAAGAATGAATGAATGAATGAATGATGAAAAGCTTTTAGAAACATATATGTTTAGTTTTGTACAATAAATAATTAGGTCCAATAAAAAAAATCTGGGTCATGAAGCAAAACTAGATGAGAAACACTGTCACAAAGTGACTTTCTATACTTGCTATCATATTCAAATTAAACTATAGCGTAACAAAACACTACAGGATAACTTTGCTGTTTTGCTGTAGGAAGTTATGCCGGAGGAGCCATTGTTGCTATTCAAGGCTCTGGATTCGACCCAAACAGCACCAAAGTCCTCATCTGTAACAGAGAGTGTAACGTGCACCTGCAGAACTCCACCTCTACCCAGCTCAACTGTGAAATCCCACCCAACAATGGCATGTATTATTTTAAAAGTATGGCGTATGTGTCTAGAAATGTTCAGTTAGCAAATCAAAGCATAATCTATCAAAGTAAGCATTTCTAAGTCTGAGCAAAGATCCCAGTACAAAGATTTTCCTCAAAAGTAAAACATGCCAGGAATGCTTTAACTGACAGAAGTCAGTCACTGAGAGATAATGGCAAATGTGACAGCACAGGCCATCAGGTCACAGATGAATAGAGCTGAAATAAAGACTTCCAGATTGCATCTTAATGACCGCTTTTGTCTCTTACAGGAACTGAAGCAGCGCGGGCCTGCACAGTCATAGTGATGAATGGAGGCGACGCTGTCAACCTCACCAACAGCTATACTTACAGATCCTCTCTGACCCCTGTTATCACCAATGTGACGCCGCGCAGAGGAGGAACCGCTGGAGGCACCAGACTCACGATTACCGGCTCAGGTTTCAGGTGCAGAACAGACCAGAAGGGCATTGTACTGAAATTGATTGTCCTTCAATCATGCTTATAAACACAGTGTTCTCTGTGGCATTACTGTTACAAAGTAAATCATTTCTATGCATTGCACAGTTAACACCTGTGTTATTTATATACTATTATAGTTTTTAATAATATATTGATTTAAAAAAAAAAAATTTTCTAATTTTAAATGTAATTTGTATGTGCTTTTGTCATTTTTTATTTATTAATATTTATTTATGTTTTATAGTGGTATTTAGGTTTATATTTATTTCATTTTTAGTTTTAATTTATTTTTAGTTAATTTTAATGTTTCAACTTTAATTTTCATCTAGTTCAAGTAATCTAATAATTCTATGTAATTTTATTTTTACATTTTTATATTTATTTTAAAAAATGTGTTAAAACAAGTATTAAACCACAAAATTATGTCATCATTTAATCACCCTCGTCTAATTCCAAAAGCGACGTTAAGCTCAGAGCAAATACATTCCTAAACATTGAAAGTGAATGGTGACAAAGTCTAGCTCTAAAACAACGCACACAAAATAAATAAATAAATACTATCAGTATTGACCTAAGAGTTATAATGCCTCATTTGGATGAAGAAATAATGACAGAAGTTCTCAGTTTCACTGGCTTTTCTCTTCCGCGTCTCACCTGTAGCTCAAATGTCAACGAAGTCTCTGTCACAATTGCGGGGTCTGTTTGTGATGTCCAGTCAGCCAGTGAGTCGCAAATCATCTGTGTGACCAACGCTCAGCCCAGATCCCAAGAAACTCAAGTGCGCGTTCAGCTGGGGAACAGAGGAATTGCCCGAATGGTAAACGTGACATAAATACAATTATTACAAGAATAATTATAATAATAGTAATTAAAATGGATTTATCTGCTTGGAATGTCTCTCCTCTCTCTCAGGATAATGCTTCCTTCTTCTACATTGACGTGTGGTCGTCTCCCTATACATGGGGTGGTCTCTCCCCTCCTGAGGAGGGCATGTTTGCTGTAATCACTGCTGGCCAGACCATCCTCCTGGACACCAGCACACCAGTCCTTAAGATGCTCCTTATCCAAGGTATGCTCATTTAGGCAAATACTATCTTTATAAACAAAGCCTTGACACACTCACAGTTCTGTGAATGCCTGTTTTCTCTTTAGGTGGGCGACTGATTTTTGATGAGGCAGACATTGAGCTGCAGGCAGAGAATATTCTGATCACAGATGGTGGAGCTCTGCAGATCGGGACAGAGCAGGCCCCCTTCCAGCATAAGGCCATCATCACACTGCATGGACACCTGCGTTCTACAGAACTTCCTGTCTATGGCACCAAGACCCTGGCTGTCAGAGAGGGGGTGCTGGATCTGCATGGTATGTACTATAAATAAACAACACTTCAAATTCATTTTTATTGAATTATTATATTAAATATATATTAAAAATGCATCAAATAAATAGGTATTTTTATTTAATATACAGTACCTTTTTTAAATGTAAATAATATTGTATTCAGCAATGATGCATTATATTGATCAAAAGTGACAGTTTATAAGACATTTATAATGTTACAAAAGATTTCTATTTTTCAAATAAATGTTTTTCTTTTGAACTTTCTATTCATCAAAGAATCTTGAAGGGAAAAAAAACTCAGTTTCCTCAAAAATATTAAGCAGCACAACTATTTTTGAAATTGATCATAATAAGTGTTTCTTGATCAGCAAATCAGCATATTAGAATGATTTCTGAAGGATCATGTGCTGAAAATTAAACATTGGCATCACATGAAAAAAAGAAAATAGTTATTTTTAAATTGCAACAATGTTTCATTAAATTTTTTCAGTATTTGTGATCAATAAGAGCAATTGTGATGCTGAGCATAAGAGACTTACAATCTTACAGACCCCAAACATTTTGAACTGTGGTGTAAATATTACATGTGAAAAATGCATACCCATAAACACTGAACACATGTACCTGATTTTGATTAATTTTTCTGTCTGTAACTTGACAAATTGACAAATCTCAGAGCTACCGGAAAATCTGCATCTAAAAAGTCACAATGTCAGAAACACAATATTCTTTAGAAAATGAAGTAATCTTCACAGAAATAGAGATGACCTACATATCACTCCCAGAAGGCTCAGTTAAGTCAGAAAGCCCCTCAGGTGGGCTTCACAGAAGAGCTAAATTTCCTTGATACAGACACCATAGTGCGTAATCACTCCCCTGTAGTGAGAGGTTTTGTTCAGGGCTTAACTACAATCCTGCTTCTCCAGGAATCCATGTCCCTATGCCATGGACTCGCCTTTCTCAGACTGCACAAAGCGGCTCCAAGACGCTGACACTGATGGATGTCGTTACCTGGAAGACTGGTGATGAAATTGTCATCGCTTCCACAGGGCACAGGTAGGTCATCGCCCAAACCTGCAGCGAAACTCGGTTTCAGGTTGATCTGACTGAAACTACTGACTTGCTAGAGAAACTGAACTAAATCAGTGTAGGAACAAGGGCCAAGGAAATGAAAAAAGTACGGTTGTTCTCTATAAATGGTACCAAATGAATTTATTTGATTTAAGAAAAACAATTTAACAACGTCGTTTGCACTGCGCTCTTGCGTTACTTGATCTTTTTATTTTGGTGCGTCAATCTGTTGAGTTACTTAGTATAGGAAATTATGATCCGCACTCACGAGAACAATCTTCTTTTTTCTTTTATTTTACATTCATTACTGATGGGAAAAGACACAAACGTTTCGGCTCAAAGCCTTCCTCAGTGTGTAATGGGATTGAATTGCTTTACACACTGAGGAAGGCTTTGAGCCGAAACGTTTGTGTCTTTTCCCATCAGTAATGAATGTAAAATAAAAGAAAAAAGAAGATTGTTCTCGTGAGTGCGGATCATAATTTAAGAAAAACAAAACATTTATCAAAATCAAAATCATTTATAAACATTTGACCTTTTTCAGTTGAGATTTGTTTTCAGGGTGGTGGAGAATACAAAATTGTAGGCCCCACTTTATATTAAGTGGCCTTAACTACTATGTACTTACATCAAAAATTAAGTACAAAGTACTTATTGTATTCATATTGTATTGCAAAACACTTTTGCTGCTATTGAGGTGGGATTCGGGTAAGGTTAGGGACAAGTTTGGTGGTATGGATAGGTTTAAGGGTGGGTTAAGGTGTAAGGGATGGGTCAACTGTGTTATTATAAATGTAATTACAGAAATTAATTACAGATGTAATTACATGCAGGTATTTTTCAAATATAAGTACAATGTAAAAACATGTATGTACACAATAAGTGCATTGTACCAAATTATTAATTTAAATGTAAGTACATAGTTGTTAAGGCCACTTAATATAAAATGGGTCCCGTCTCGCTGGCTCACGAGAACCATCAGACTCGGCTATGCGATTCAGTTCGCCTGGCGTCCTCCCTAGTTTAGGGGCATTCGGTTCACCTCTGTGCTGCTTTAGAAAATGAAGTAATCTTCACAGAAATAGAGATGACCTACATATCACTCCCAGAAGGCTCAGTTAAGTCAGAAAGCCCCTCAGGTGGGCTTCACAGAAGAGCTAAATTTCCTTGATACAGACACCATAGTGCGTAATCACTCCCCTGTAGTGAGAGGTTTTGTTCAGGGCTTAACTACAATCCTGCTTCTCCAGGAATCCATGTCCCTATGCCATGGACTCGCCTTTCTCAGACTGCACAAAGCGGCTCCAAGACGCTGACACTGATGGATGTCGTTACCTGGAAGACTGGTGATGAAATTGTCATCGCTTCCACAGGGCACAGGTAGGTCATCGCCCAAACCTGCAGCGAAACTCGGTTTCAGGTTGATCTGACTGAAACTACTGACTTGCTAGAGAAACTGAACTAAATCAGTGTAGGAACAAGGGCCAAGGAAATGAAAAAAGTACGGTTGTTCTCTATAAATGGTACCAAATGAATTTATTTGATTTAAGAAAAACAATTTAACAACGTCGTTTGCACTGCGCTCTTGCGTTACTTGATCTTTTTATTTTGGTGCGTCAATCTGTTGAGTTACTTAGTATAGGAAATTATGATCCGCACTCACGAGAACAACCTGCTTTTTTCTTTTATTTTACATT